CCTGTTGAACTTGATTGAATATTTTGAATAAGTAACAATCAGAGTTGATGAGGGTAGTAAAATGAATATGATCTATAAGGATTTTACCGAGGCTTTTGATAAGATTCCACAAAGAATCAAAATAGTCAAAAATTAAAAGCCACCCTTACAATCCAGGTATAACTGATAAATTAGATGAAAATTAACTTAGTGGCAAACATAAGGGATAATAGTTGATTAGTTGATAGATGTTTTTGCAACTGAAATCTATTAGGCTCTATACTCCATGCCTTTTTTAACCTTATATTCATGATTTAGATTCAAAAATAGGAATGCTATAAAGAAGTTTGTACTTGGCACAAAAATTGTGTGGTTGATAATGAGGACTGCAGGAAAATATAGATTGCCTGGCAATTGGGCAGAAAGATGGAAAATGTAATTCCATTTGCAGAAGTGAAGTAAGGCATTTTGAGAAGTACAATAAGGCAAAAGAATATGCAGCAAATTGGAGGATACTGATTAGTGTGGATCAATAGAAGGACCTTGCCGTGTACAACCGCAGATCACTAAAGGTAACAAAATAACATTAATAAGCTGGTTAAGATGATGTATGAAATGTTTTTCTTTATTGGTGAAGACATAGAATATAAAGACATAGAAATTACATAGTGTAATAGAATTTGATACAATACCAGTTAGACCACACTGCGTACTGTACTGTTTACTGTTCTAATTGCCACATTACTGGAAATATGTGATTAGAGAGGCTACAGAGGAGATTGACAAGGATGTTGCCAGGACTGGAAAATTTCCACAAATGAAGGAAGATTGGGTGGACTGGGACAGTTTGTTTTGAACTGCAGGGGCTATGAAGTGACTTAATTGAGATATATAATATGATGAAGAATTTGGATAGAGGAAATAGGGACAATTTATGACACATTTCATGTGTGTTGCCTTAGGTTCTTGAGGGGACGAACATTGCTTCAAGTTTGAAACTAAGCTGGAAGATCATGGTTCAACTCTAGTTTAGTGAATGGAAACCTGTGGACACAATTAGATACTGGTATACAATACCAAATACAGTGCTACTTGTCCTACATCTGATAAAATTTCCTTGCAAAAAATATTTGTCTTGTCTAGGGAAGACCTAACACTTTCCCTCTCACCACTCAGAGGCTGAACCAGACTATTGGCAATCTTGGCATCCTGGGTGACTTCTACCTAAACTTCTGATCCTACATCATCACCAAGGCTGGTTATTCCAATCTCCATAACATAATCTAGTCTCCACTCCTGTCCCAGCTCATCATTGCTGATATTCTGATCCATACCAGTGTTAATTCTAGATGCAACTACTCCAATGCTGCTCTGACTGTTTTTCCATCTGCATAAACTTGAGTTAAACCTCTTCTGCCTGTTTCTTGACGGGGGTACCTTCAGCAAGTGTTGCGCTAGTCTTAATACAGGGGCAGCTTCTGTCAGAGTTAACAAAAACAGAAGTTGATGGAAATGCTCAACAGGTCCGGCAGCATCTGTCAAAGAAATCAGAGTTAACGTTTTGGCAATTCTGAGGAAGGGTCACCGGACCTGAAACGTTAACTCTGATTTCTCCTCACAGATACTGCAAGACCTGCTGAGCTTTTCCAGCAACTTCTGTTTTTCTTCCTGATTTACAGCATCCACAGTTCTTTTGGTTTTTATTCTGTCAGAGTTATGCTTTATGGATGATCTCTCAATCAAATGATTCAAGGACACCAATCATAATGATGGCATGAAAGGCTTCCTCATCTTGTTCTGTAACTGCCTCAGCCCTTGGGTGGTGGTCTGGATTGCAGGAGAGGGCCATCAGTGGGCCACATCTGCAATTTACCCCATGATTTTTGCAATAATGGGACCACTGATCAGTCCACGCCAATCCAGTATAGTGTTGGTATATCCTGTTGATATCATTGCACTGCTCCTGCATTCACTCTGGCTGCTGCCACTATCAGCTCTTCATGAGGTTGGCCACTCACTTAATGGAGGAGCTCATGTGTTCAAAGCCGTGAGCCATGTTAACACACATGAGCTAAATGGGGGACTCCTCCAATTTGACCCCCAGTCCCTCAGAGAATCTTGACATGGGGGCACACATCTCCTGCTCTGCTGGTTAAAGTAGAGCTGCAATGACATGTGACTCCTGAGACCTTGCATCTGTGCCTAGCTGGACAGAACTGTGTCTGTCTACCACTCTACAAAGGGAACTGCTCACAGCTGCCTATGCCTCTCTCATTGTGTCCTGCTCATTACTGCCAGATTCTTCACCTTTTCTGAATGCATGTAAAGACCCACTAATGGGGAAATATCTACACTGTTGGGAGCTGTGCTTTCATTTACATGATGTTGCAGGCACTGTTGTTCTGGATGCTTGAGATGTCCCCAGAAGTGACTGTACTTTAGCACTCAGTCTTCACCACTGATCCTGTAGGAGCCACAAAGAGAACATTAGAAGCCCCTTGTGACAGCATAAACCTGTCCAGTGATGAGTCTTTCTGAAACGAGCTACTGGAAGGGGAGAAGCTTCGTTAGCAGATCTCTACTTTTTCACTCTCTCCACCAGATATTCCCATCTCTTCATTGACTACTTGTTCCTGCAGGACCACCCTTGCAATTATCCAAATGATTGACCATACAAATTAGTGTTTACCCATTCAAGTTTTAATTTTGGCAAGCAGAAGCCTTGAGGACTATGTTTAGAATTATTCCCTGTCTAAAGTTGACAATCGTTAAAATCTGCTTCTGTTCTCTCCTCATATCTGTAAATGTTTATCTGTTTCCCATCTCTAATGCTTGTTACCTGTCCTCATCGACCAGCAGAACCAATACCACCCCCAGGGCTTTCACTTTCCACATTTTGAAGTGGAAAACATGTCCCACTGAGCAGCATCAAGAAGGAAAAATATGTTACAATGTTTCTAAATGGTCATTTATCCAGAAAAAAATGCACTCCTGCTGAAACCTTGCATACTTCAACTTGATTTTATACAGGATGACCGAGCCACAGGCGTGTGAACTGAAGTATGTTCATCGCTTACAATATTGAACTTGTAAGTAATTCCAAGCATTCCAATTATTTTAGACTGCTCCTAATACTGTCCATTACTTTTTTTTACATCATTGTATTTAATGCCACTGTCCATCATTCTCATTCAAATGCATTATAAATTAGTTTTATCATTTTTTTTGATGATTTCACTGAAAGCATTTATGAAACTAATTCTCTTGATTGTTGTTTGACTGGCAAAAATCATTTCATCAAGTGTTGCACAACAGATGTTTGAGCAAAGTTAAGACTGATAGAATAAAAGGAATATAAACTCGGCTGAGTAACTTGAAACGGAGAGTACTGGTGATGGTTATTTTTCTGACAGGAACACAGTTACAGGAACAAGGTTTACATAGTGGGGTTCCCCAGAGGTGAATGATAGGACTCGTTCTTCTTGACATATATTAACAGCCTTGGTGTACAAGACAAGCAACTTTTAAAAGTGAGTCAGACACAAAATTTGGAAATTTTGTGAACTGAAAGGAAGATAGTGCTTGACTTCAGAAGGACCGAACTAGATTGGGGAATAGGCAAACATATGACTGTCAAAATTTAGTTCAGTGAGGTATGAAGTGATCCATCTTGGTAGGAGGATGAAAAGTGATAAAATTAAAAAGGGTACAATTCTAAAGCGGGTGCAGGAACAGAGGGACCCATGTATCTATTCACTTAAATCGTTGAAGATGGCAGGACAAGTTGAAAAGACATTAGAAACATGAAAATATTTTTTGAAAAAAAAAATTCCAAGTTTTGTCAATAAAGGAATGGAATACAAATACAAGGAAGAGATGTTAATTCTGGTTTGGTCTCAACTGGTGTGTCCAGTTCTTGGTACTAAATTTTAGGAAAGATGTGGAGGTTTCAGAGAGTTTGGAGACTCTGCAAAATGTTTCCAGGGATGAGGAACTCCTGTTGTATGGATAGGGAGGACTGTTCTCCTTGGAAAAGGGAAGGTTGAGAGAAGATTTTATAAAGATATTCAAAATCATGAGGGATGTAGATGGAATAAATAGGGTGACACTGTTCCTATTGGTGGTACCGCTGAGAACTGTAGGTCACCTATTCAAGGTTATTGGCAAGGAGAGCAATGGTGCCAAGAGGAGAGGTGTTTTTTTTTACACAGTCTGTTTACAATATCGAATGCACTGTTGGAGAGTGTGGTAAACGCACATTCAGTGATGGCTTTCGAGAGGGAATTGGATTATTATCTCGGGAAGGAAAATATAAAGAGCTACAAGAAGAGGCAAGGGCTGAGTGGCTGGAGGTGAACTGCTATTGCTGAGAGCTTCCAAAGCTCAACCATTCTGTGACTCTCCTACAAATCTCCATGTTATTTTATCGCCGCTGTGTTAACCTGCTTTAAAACTACTTCTGCTATGAATCGAATCTAAGGCTATAAGGAATCTTCTAAGGGTGTTATACTGTGGGCCGGAAACAATCCATGAGAGAACTCAAAGCATAAGATCCTTTCCAAATTCTGTCGAAGGTAGAGCGGCCACGCGTTATCTATCCTCCTTACAGCACCTCGAGATAAATCCCGGCATTTGCCAAGCGGTATTTCCCCAAATCTTTTACATGACAGTTGCACGGTTTATAAACAAGCTTGTTAAAATGTAAAGTGGCCCTTCTTTACGTAGCAATGAACAGCTATCGAGATGCCTGGTGATTCGTCTTAGCGCCCCAGTAGAACCAGATCAGTATACTATGGGAGAGATTTCAATGCTTGGGCACCGGACAGCGGGCTCGGAGTCGAGTTTCTGCAGAAGCGCTGTTAAAAGGCAGCTTTGTCGCCGTCAATGGGAGACGGGTTGCTGATAACTTTACAGCCGGACCTTTGGGTGAACCCTGCAAGGGTGTGGTGCTAAAGCTGATGAAGCAGAGCTCAGGTAGTCTTGGCGTGGGTTTCCCGGTGACGCCCCATTCCATGGTAGGCGTCGCCAAAAACATATAAATTGTAGCCAGCGCGGTCCAATCGCCACTAACGGTTCAAATCCTCCCAACAGCATCTTGCGGCGGAGGCTCCCAGGTAGGTTCTATCTCTTGGCCATTCAGCCCCTGGGCTGGCGCGTGGTGGGTTATTTTTTAATAAAAAGAGCCACTTTTAGTGTAATATGTGTGTTTTCTCACTTTGTAGTTGACGATCCAGCGATGAGGTTCTCCAAACTTGCTGGGCTCCTGCTGCTACTCTTCATCACAGAGTGTCTCTTGGCGGAGGCCAGTGAGGGGCAACAGCAGCGGAGGAAGAGGAAGGGCAAGAGCCAGCAGCAGCAGTTAGGGGAATCACAGGACGGGGGCAACAAGGCACCGAGCCTGGGAACCGACGGGAAGAAGCAGAGGAGGGGTCGCGGCTCAGTGCCCAAGCAGGGGCGCTTCGTCAGCCGGGAGCAAGCACAGTGCAAGTGGGCACTGCGAGGACAGGAAGACTCTGACATAAACCTGCGTGTGGATTGCAAAAAAGAACTGAGCGACTACTGGTGTGAGTTCACCGGGAAACCGTCAGCTTGCGCCAAGTACTCGCAAGATGCAAAGACCTACTGGAAGCAAATCACCCGGGCACTGAAGAAGCAGAAGGGGATCTGCAGCCAGCCCTCGGCAATGCTGAAATCCAGTTTGTGCCGAAGCACAAAAGCAGCTCATCTGAAAATGACCGGCTCCAGCCTGCTAACCCCTGCAACCGCGGGAGAGGAGCAAGCGAAGATACTGAGCCCAGCCCCTGTAACAGATCCTGACAGTCCAGATGCAGACAAAATAGCTGCGGAATATTGTAATGATAGATGGAGTTCTGTCTGCACGTTCCTGTTTTCAGCAATCCAGGGCTAAGACTGCAGGGTCTCTGTGATGTTCTGTCTCTGTGATTGTCCATTTTACTTCCTGCTTAAAGAATGGGACTATATTGTATAGTTGATCAATTGTTTTAGAAATTCCATGGTTTATAAAATGAGTTTGTAAGATGTAAGTTGGCCCTAATTTATTAACAGGCATTCTGAATACACTTGCTATCGGTTTCCAGCCGGTTCATGTTGCACGACAGCGCCGTGGGTGTATCCAGACAAATGAATAAATCCCACTCGCTGTCCGCCCTCAAAGCAACCCATTACCACCATCCCCGTTTGAAAACAGTTGCTTTCGCAGGCAGCTAAGCAGAATGTGTTTTATATACACGTGGCGCCAGTTTTAATTTTTTTTAAAAGGTCCATGTTGTGCTTTCTCCAAAGACCCAGCAGTCTTGATGGGTTGTATAACCATGTCTTACGGTCAATATCGCTCATACTTCGGGGAATATGTTACGTCCATTAATCACACAGCCGCTAGTTCTACTGACATTTCAAAGATCTTTTCTAAAACATTAACACGAGCGTATTGTAAATAACTGTTAATAAAAAGCCTTTCTGAAAACATTACCACGATGCTGTGTTGTCTTTTCAGAAATAAATAAATGTTGGAATAACATTTACGCACCGTCTGTCTATAAAAAAAATAAATCGATTGCACCGATATTCATCCTAGCACCGACAACAAAAATTGCTGGAGAAACGCAGTAGGTATGGCAGCATCTGGAGAGAGAGAAAGCAGAGTCAACATTTCGGGTCCAACGACCCTTCTGCCAGACCTGCTGCGTTTTTCCAACATTTTCTGTTATTGTTTCTGATTCCCAGCAGCTGAAAATTCTTGTTTTAATCCCAGCATGGTCCGGATGCAGGCAGCACATGCTTAGTCTATAAGGAAAGGCTCTCTCTGCACGTTAAAATGGTAGATGTGCTGGCAGCACCTCTGAATTCCCGAAGATTGCCCTTGAACCCGAGCATTTGATTCAATGTAATATGTCCAGATCCTCCCCAAACAATCTAGGACAGAGTATGATTGGGTTTAAAAATCACCACAAAGCAATAACAGATAACAAGGTGTGGAGCTGGATGAACACAGCAGGCCAAGCAGCATCAGAGGAGCAGGAAAGCTGACGTTTCGGGCCTAGACCCTTCTTCAGAAATTCCTACTATCTCTCACCACAAAGCAATAACTTGTGATTGCAGATATTGTCCATTTAACCTGCCCAGATCCTGTCATTGTAGAACTCTTATAGATTAAGCATGTGCTGCCTGCATGTCAGGCGGTGTGCTGGCTCAGTGATTAACAGCGCTGCCTCTCAGCGCCACGGACCCAGGTTCGATCCTATCCTCGGGCGACTGTTTGCTCCGACGGGTGCTCCGGTTTCCTCCCACAGTTCAAAGATATGTGGGTTAGGTCGATTAGTCATGGGAAATTGCCCATAGGATCCAGGTTAGGCGGATTAGCCATGCGAAGTGCAGGGTCCTGTTTCCACACTGTAGGGATTCTATAATATCTCTGGAGTAGATGGTACCTGAAGCCAGGGACACTACCACTTTCTCACAAGAGCACATTAACTTGCATTTGGCCATTAAAATGCCCCAAACTTCACCAGAGTTGTGTCAAACAGAATCTGACACACAGCCACCTAAGCAAATGCTTGACCAAACATACAGGTTTAAAGAGTATCCACAAGGAGGAAATCTGGTGTAAAAGCAAAAAGGTCTGGTAAGGGAACTGTAGAGCTCAGGAGTAGCTGAGGGCGAGGCGAGCAATTGGGGATGTTCAAGGTCAGTGTTAGAGAAATGCAGCTACCTCAGGCTTGTGGCGGTGGTGATAACCGAAAGGGCAGGCATGATCATAGTTTGAAAGCAAACATGACAGTTTGAAAATGGAGGATTGGTTTAACTGGGAGCCGATGTAGTGAGTTAAAACTGGGCAGCAGAATTTTGAATGGACGGCACAGAATGGGTTGAAATAGTCAAGACTAAAACTAACAAAGGCATCCGTGAGGGTTACGGCAGCAGCTGCATTGACACGGGTAAAGTTTAAAGTACAAAATTAGAGATGGATGGCATAGAGATATTGTTGGAAGCTCAGTTCAGGAAAATTTGACTTGGAATACCAGGTAAACACATTATTGGGAATGGCAGTTCAATTTTAGTTTATGTGTTCGTGCCTTCCAAATGAAATACAGAATTGAGGCTGATATTATAATGCTGCCTAAGAAAGTGCTACATTATCCTTATCAAGGTCGATCAAGTTCACGTCTATTTGTTAAGGCGGATGTACGAGATATCATGGTATTACTCCAAGAAAGGCAGATCCGCAGAGTTTTGACATCTTGGCTAACAGCTAACTCCATGGATCACCCATCACTGAGGCGGCGTGGTGTGGTGGTGGGAGTTGATAGTGATGGCCTGCATGAGGCTGCTTTATTGGCCTACATTTATCAGTTGTTGCATTTCAGAAGCGACCCCCAGCCCTCAGCCATGCGGAATGTGCGACTTTCTAATCTTTTATTCTACACATCGATTCAACGAACTCGAATCAGCCTCTTCGCAGTAGGAATTATTTCATCCAGGTTGGTCAATGTTAAGGGAATGCATGGAATTCCTGACACTGTACAGTGGAAGAGAGGAAGCATAAGCTGAAGGAGCAGATCGCGAACAGTTTTAGCAGTTTTTTTAAGGTGTTGCGGCGAATCGGGGTTGGAGTGTGTTACTTTGTGTCACTTACTTTGCATCAAATGGAAAGCGCTTTGTATCAACATGAAAATTCAATAACCTGCTGTTAGGTGTCATGCCTCCTACTTAATGATCAATACAAAACTAATGGAATTTCAGCTTTTACATATAACGACAAAATGATAAACAGCAGCATCTGCACAGAGCAGCACTATCCGAAATGCTATAGGCAATTAACTTTTAGGTCGGTTTGTTGTGGATCCCTCCAGTGTAATGTGCTATCGCTCCCCTTAGACATTCCCAATGCTGTTACCATGGTTCTGTGTCATTCCCCCAGCCTGTCAGTGGTTACTAAAGATTTATTGAACTTGGGCTGTACTGGAACTGGGCGGGTTCGTGGCTCCTAAACTGTCAGCTCATCGCTCACCCCACGCAGGCGGAACCAATCCGATCCCAATGGCTTAACTCCAGTGACTCCCATAACATTGTCAGCTGTCGGAACAGACCTGTTGCTGCACTTGGGAGATTACAGGGCGTTATTGGGAATTCAGTGTTTCCTATTCCGTGTCCTCCCACTCCTAATTCATATCATTTTATAAGTTTTCCAGTAAACAGCCCCTTGCAGGTACACATTGCAGGTTCACACGCACCTCCCAGCGTTCCTGTTTGTAACGTTTTGGTGGGCACGCCAGGAGTAGGTGTATTTACTTTGGACCAAAACCATTGCGTTCTGGAACAAGATTGTATGTTATCTTCCAGTGTATTTAAAGCTACGTGTGGTCCGCGTCCAGGTACACCAACCGCATTCATATCGTGACAATATTGTTTTAAACAGTCTGGTTCAGGAGTCTAAAAGTACTCACTTTTCAAAAGCTGACTGCAAGACGCACTGTCCAAACCTCTACTCCGAGAATAACACAGCGTGGAGCTGGAGGAACACAGCAGGCCAGGCAGCATCAGAAGCAGCATTTGCAGTTCTTACTATGTCTGACTATTGGTATTCTGTTTCTTTTCTCCCCTCTTACATTCATTCTGTGTCAATTTCCTTCTGGGTTGTGTGTGAGTTACTGTGTCCATTCATTTCCACACCGCGTGTGTAGGTTGCAAAAATTAAAATGCATTTCATTGGTTTTAAAGCACATTGGAATATCCCAGGGCTGTGGAAGACACCATATAAATTCTCCCTTTTTCAAATTCTTCCCTCCGTTTTCCTTTTTAGATTTCTTTTCCAGTTACACCTCTTTTTGGTTCGCTGATTCTCTTTCCAGTTTCTTGTACTGATTTGTATATTTTCCTGTTTCAATGAATGCCACTGCACCATCTGCTTTGTTTCTATCCAAATGCAATATCTTGCCAGCTTTATTCATCACTTTTTCAATTTTTCTTTACCCATTTCACCTGTATTTCCTGCTTTTCTTTCTCATATTTAGTTCAATCTAATTCAGAAATCACATCACACCAGGTCATAGTCCAACAGGTTTATTTGGAAACACAATCTTTCAGAGCCTCTTTCCTTCTTCAGGTGTTAGTGAGATGATATCAGGCACAGCATTTATAAGTAAAAGATCAAAGGGTCACACCACTGATGAGGATATATAAACAAACCTAAGATGCTGTTAAATCTTTAACCAGTTAGAAGGTTTTAATTGACTAATATGTGTGTGTAAATCCCTGAATTCTTTTCAACTCACTGACAAGAGAAAGCTAAGGGTTTTATCAGTGTTAAGAAGAGTTGATATTTTAGGCCAGACAATGTACATCAGATGTAAGGCCTTGTTTAGAATCTGTTTGTGTTTTGGTTTAGAGTCAGGCAGGTTTTATTTCTAAAGTAGGAATCTATAAAATGCCATATTGACTGTCTATAAATTGTGTGCTTTTTGAACAAAATAGAATGTATCTGCAAATACAAATTCATCCCATAGATTTACATGTGTGTGTGTGTGTGTGTATGTATATGTGCGTGAGAGAAGGAGTGAATGTGTGTGTGTGTGAAGGGTTGGAGAGAGAGAGAGTGTGTGTGTGTGTGTGCGCGTGGGGTGGGGGAGAGACAGAGAAAGAGAGTGTGTGTGTGTAAGAGAGAGAGACAGAGAAAGAGTGTGTTTGTGTGTGTGTGGGAGAGAGTGTTTGAGAGGAAGAGTGTGTCTTCAAATAAACCTGTTGGACTATAACCTGGTGTCATGTGATTTCTGACCTTGTCCACCCAGTTCAACACTGGCACCTCCACATCAGTCTAATTCAGGCAGGATAAGTGACTATTAAAAGAGCCCAGAAAACTGACCAGGGCAACTGATGAGAACAAATGTTGTGAAGTGGTCAAAAGCCACTGAGTGTAGGTGAAGGGGAAACCTGGAGGCCCCAACTAAACATTAGGAACTGTGGAAGCTTTCAAATCAGGGCCAACATCTTATCTTGTTCCATTATTGCCACATTTCCTACTGGAAGTGGGAAACTGTTGCTTACTTTATTTGTAATCTTGTACTTCCACTAATAACAGACAACAATGTGGCTGGACAACAACATGTAACGCTTTGGTGAACAATGGAGCAAATAGTGTATCTCTATCCAATGAGGTTTAAGGATGAAAAACTACAACAGATGGAAGATTGAGAATGAGGGCGAAGGGTCAAAATTCTGGAACTCCTTTCCTAGCAGCAACGTGGGTGTACATACACCACATGGGCTTCAGTCTTCAAGCAAGTGATGCACCTCTTCCATCGGGCAGAAGATACAAAAGTTTGAAAGTATGTACCAGCAGACTTAAGAACAGCTTCTTCCCCGCTGTTGTCAGTCTTATGAATGGCTCTCTCATATATTAGAATTGATTTTTCTCTGTACTTCTCGGTAGCTGTGACACTACGTTCTGCATTCTGTTCTATTACCCTGAT